CAATTACTGAATCCAATATTTGATGCAAATTTTTTACACTATTTGACATTGATAACCATCTTGTATTAACTATATTAAGAATAGTTAATTGAGGATCTTCTAATATATCTTGTACCATTCTTAAATTTTGCATACGTTGATAAGAACTTGAAAAATAAGTATATAATCTTTTAATACAAGTTTCATAGTGATTAAAATATGGAACATGTTTTGCTGCATCTTTTCCAGCTAAATGTAGTCTATGTGCAATGCAATGAACAGATGTAATAAATGGATTAATTTCCTGAAATCGTTTAACAACACCTGTTTTTTTGCCAATTAATGTAGCAGCTCCATCACTACAAAAATGCAATAAATTTTTTATTTCTAATCCTTTAGCAATAAAAAAATTTTTTAAATCTAATGTAATTGCTTCTGCATTAAGTTCATCTAAATTAATAATTCCCAAATATTGTGTAACTGGTACATTATAAACCATATGCCGAGATACAATAGCTAAATGCTTTTCATCAGTAATAGAATTAGTTTCATCAATCATAACACTCCAGTTAACTGAACTTCTAATTTCTTCATATAATGCTTTTTCAATTACATACACAATCGCTTCTTCAATATCTTTAGCAGATGTATCTGATAAATGAGATCCATATTCATTCGATTCTAATGGCAAATTTTTTGATAAATGTGATGGTAATTGTAATACTTCGGGCATATCACAAAGTTTCATGACTTCAGAATTTTTTTGATGAAAGTCTATAAATTGATATAAATCAGGATAGACAGAAAGTGCTAAATATTTCTTTGCTGCAAAATATATGCATTGCATTTGTGATATTGTTTTGATTTTACAAGCATCGGTAGCTAATTGAAGTGAAAATTTAATCGCCATAATATTTTGATTTTTTTTGGCTTCAGCTTCAGCTTTGTGTTCATGATGATTAAGGTGTCGATCAATACTTTGTTTTCGATAATTTCTTGTTCCTTTTGCAAGTTCATTAGCATAATTCTTCGATTTACACCATTTGCAAAACATAAATATTATTCCATTCACATCTCTGTACTCCAACCAAGCATTATTACCATTTCCCATCCACTTCGGATCAGGACTAGATCTAACTTTGTTACGCTTTGGATTTTCATTTAACAAAATTTCAGTAGAAGGTTCAACTTGGTTTTGTTCATCTTTTTCAGATGTATTTTTTTTAGAATTTGTTTCAACAGAAAAAAATCTTTTCATTTTTGTAAAAGTTAAAGCTAATTGAAATATACTTGGAACGAAGTATATGTTATGTAAATATAAAATATATGGTTATAAACAATTTAAAAATGTTATTTACAAATTTGCAATTACAGTAATTAGCATCAGATTTTGAATATAAGCTTAGCCTTTACATATCTGATACTGTCTATAATTTAATAACGCATTTATGCATATACACAGAAATAAGATTATTGGAAAGTACTAACTCTTTTTAGTAATTATTATGTTATTAAATATATTTTAAATACAACTTCTACAATTATTAATTAATTAGATGGCTTTATTGGGCTCTATGCTTGTTGTTAACTTGAACTACTCCTGGAACTATGCTCCATGGATTCAAGTCACAATACTGCTACAAATTAGGCTATATTGTCTTTACGTAAGAAAAAGCTATTATGGAGAGACCCGATTATAAAGTTAATTTTCTTAAAAGGTAGGTAATAGCAGGGAGGCATAATCACCTTCTTACAAGGAAATCTTTAAATACCCCTGCATTACAGAAAAGAAATTTTTTTTCTTCTGAATTCATGTCAATAGCTATCTCATATCGTTCATCAATGCTTATAGTAATGCATTATATGAGATCATAATATAACTAGAAGCATCTAACAAGACACAATCCAGACTATTGCCAAAAATCTATAAAAGGCTAACCGGCAAATTGAATACGTGAAGTCATCTGATCTTGAACTTTCTTGTTACAGGCTTCTACAGTAAGTAATTAATTAATAAGGTAGCTGCGTGATGCTGTAATGCCAAACCAGCAACGTAAATATATGAAATAACTTGATCAGATAATTTGAGTACTCTGTTTTATGAATCTGAGCAGAATTTTTGAATTGATAATTATTAAAAATTTAAATGCAATGAAAGTGAAATTCTGCATCTAAACTTTATGATAACATTGAACTATATTTAGTATACGATTTGGTTAACTATGGCGAATGTTCAACTTGTATTTTTTTTTTTATCGCTTTAACAGGGTTTTGCCTCAATTCTACAATTAAAGTGAATGAAGATCATTTGCAAAAATGTGCTGTCCTCCATAATTGCACTAACCAAATATAAATTTGCTGTTAGATAGTCATTAACGGCTTATCTGAATCAATTTTAGTTGCATAATGGAGCCAAGTCAACCAAAGCCAGTTTAAGCTATAGCTTAGAGTTACAACTAAACTATGGCTCAGCATAAGCTACAACTGAATAATAGGCTTTTTAAAGTCATAGCTCCAGATTAGGCCATAGTCATTAAAAGCACAATTTGTGTCATTACTTAAGCCACGGCTCAAGCTGTGATAGATAATACTGATACAGTACTGCAGTAGTATTGTATATAATGTGATTATGTAGCATAGTATAATGAAAATTTAAAGCAATATAGTATTTAAAGAAGCCATACAAGCGTTAACAGCTTTAATAGGCTGACAAAATACTTCGTTATGTAATGTCAAGTTTCACATGACATTTCAATTAAGTATCTTCAGACTTTTCTTATTTAAACAATTGTCCTTTATCAATCAATATATTAATTAATTTCTCGTTTAAATTTTTATTCACATCTCTCAAGTACATAAATTAATAGATTGGAACTCAATTTTTAATTGATAGAAAGTAGTCTAACCAGTAAGTAGATTATCGTGATAAAAAAAAGTTTGAAATCTTTTTTTTTTCAGACTTGTTCTGATTGGCAAAATTTATTATCTGCATTTGCGTTATGAATCTTCAGCAAAATAACAGTAAGGATCGCTTCAATTAATTGCACTATCTCGGTAGCTAATTTCATTGAAAGCACCCTTAGTCTTTAAATTTAGCGATTATTTATT